CTCTGGCAAAGGTTTCTGTGGCAAAGGTTTCTCTGGCAAAGGTTTCTTTGGCAAAGGTTTCTCTGGCAAAGGTTAAACCCCAGCAAACCCCCAGGCGGCGCGGAGATAGAGAGTTTAAATCTATAATAAGTGACATTACTAAACAAATAAGTCATAGTTTCTTTAGAATATCGACTGACATATAATTTTAATTTTATTTAAACTATTTATATGGTATATTTTTAAATTAATACGTAAATTAGAAGAAAGATATGCGATATTATTTCTACCAACGATTTGGTACATCTTGTTCTTTCGGCAACTATCGAATTGTTAGATATTGTGAATACAACTTGTATATAAGTCTATTAAAATGAAGTATATATTTTTAACACTGAATATTGATTTCATATATCGCCCTTTCAGTCTCATTTTAATGTAGTATCCCGAAAAATATTATCTCGTTTAATCTTATAAATTTTCTGCTTACATACGAATACAAGATATCATATAACATTCTGCTTATATGTATAAGAGTATGACATACCGCCTTTGTAATCAATATATAACTTTTTACATTTCTTATGCTTACACAAACGTATACACGCATAAATCTTTTGCTTATTAATAAACATTATCTAAAATTTTCGACACACAGATACCAAATTGTCGATACGAAAATTATCATGTCGTATGTATTCTAATTAATAAATTGTTATAATATTGCAAAACTGGCTTAGGTATCTCACTATCGTTAATATTATAAACTCATATTTTGAAATTGTTATTTTTAGAAACTTGCATATTGTATTAACTACTGCTAGTGTTAAATAAAATATGATACACAAAGAGAGATTACCGAGTAATTTTGATACATGATGTGTAACAACGATAATATTTTCTGGCGATACACGTTTGCAAAAATTTTATATGATTACAAGCCAATGTCTCTACTCTAATATTAAAAGAAAATATCACATTATATAAATAATGGTAGCTAAACATCTTGTGTTATGCAATTTACGTTGCATTTTATTATATTTTTACAAGAGTCTGTAAAAAAAAGGCTTCAAGTAAATCCTACGTAAAATTGATTTCTTAATTCCAAGCTAACATTTTCGGGATTTTACCGCTTATTTCCAGCTATCTGTTTTCTAAAATATTTTTTTTGATCATTTTATTCTGATCTGGGATTAGATCGCGATTGACCAACAATTAATTCTAATATGAAGAATATAGTGACGCAAGTGTATCTAGATTAAATTACTGAAAAGAGCTATTGGGCTGTTAGAAGCTTAATGTTTATAGAACTTTTAAAATTCTTTATCCGTTTTACCGTCCTTCTTTTCACCTTCTTATAAAGACAAGAACGTAATCACGTACTTGTATATAAGCGGTGTTCGGAACGATAGTGGTCGACTACACTCTCTCTATTGCGCGTATCGGTTGTGGGGTCAGTCGATAGAAAATGACAATAAAATATTAACTTTTGTAACTTTAATCGCCAAGAAATTCAAGAAATATGTATCGACTCTTCGTGGCAATCGTGGTACTCAACTTCGTATTAATCAATAAATATATAAATGCAGGTAACATTTAATTCTTAATACCAAAATGTAGCTTTAATAGTTTTTAAACAAGAAGTGCTTGAAAATGATCAAATAAATTATCCGAAATTCGTAATTATGTTGTATGATATTTGTACATTCTTGTTTATATGATATATGCGTATAACATAATAGAATGTTCTTTATGTTGTTTCAAGAATTCCGTTATACCTGGGACATATACACCGTTGGAAAATCTTCGACGGACAATAATATGATACGATATTATCGAGTAATTTTGATACATAATGTGTAACAACGATAAAATTTTCTTGCAATACACGTTTGCAAAAGTTTTATTTAATTACAAGTCGACGTGTTTACAATATTAAGAGAAAATATCACACTATATAAATAATAGTATAGCTAAACATCTTGCGTTATGCAATTTATGCAACATTTTATTATATTTTTGCAAGAGATCTGTAAAAGAAAGGCTTCAAGTAAATCTTACGTAAAATTGTTTTCTTAATGCCAAGCTAACATTTTCGAAATTTTATCGTTTATTCCAGCTTTTTGTTTCTTTTATGATCGTCACACTCTTTATGATCGTCTGATTCTTAAATCTAATTAGATCGACCAACTACTATTCTCAATATGAAGACTACAGTGGCGCAAGTGTATACAAATCAAATTAGTGAAAAGAATTATTAAGCTGTTCGAAGCCCAATGTTTACAACTTTTAGAACTGTTTGTTCGCTTTACCGACCTCCTTCTCACCTTATAATAAACACAAGAATGTCCGCGCGCATCTGTACATACATGAGCAGCGACGGGAACGCTAAGTTTGATTACATCCTTTGTCTGTTGTGCATACTGGTTGTGGACTGATGCGGAGTTATAACGCTTTTAAAACCTTCTTGATTTTTGTAGCTTTAGGCCCAGTTTCACAAGTGTCGGTTAACTTTTAATCTTAGATTAACTCACTCTTCATCTCCTTCTAACGTCCCCCTTAGAAAAAGAAGAAGAGTAAGTTAATCTAAGATTAAAAGTTAACCGACACTTGTGAAACTGGCCCTTAGTCGTCGAAATATTCGGGAAATATATGTATATTGACTCTCTCTGTTGCAATCGTGGTTAATCAACTTCGTGTTAATCGACGCGGAGTTGCATAGGTGAGTACATAATATGTACAAACGCTCCTCATTTATATCGACACGATAAATACCGTATAGAGATCGCGCTTCCAACTTCTTGGAATCGCCGCAGAATTCGCGATCTGTGATCTTGAAATACTTTAAT